CGGGCGGCGCCCTGGGGGTTTCCGGGAACGGCTGTCCACGGACGCGGTACCCGGAGGGGGGAGGTGGGGGACGGGGGCCACCCGGGCTGGCCTCGGCGCCGCCACCTGCACCCGGGCCTTGGCACAAGCATGGAGAGCGGCGGGGGGACCGCCGCGCGGAAAAACTCCTGGGCACCAGCTCGGTGGTCACCGCCGTCTTGTACTCCGTGTACCGGCAGAAGGCCCAGGTCTCCCAGGAACTCAAGGTCAGTGCTGCAGCCGGCCTGGCCTCAGCCGGGTCCTGCGCCCCGGGCCGTGGCGAGCCCACGGATCGCCATGGCCGCCCCGCACCCAGAAGCTATCGGAAAGAGGAAACGGACTCAGGGTGTCACCAGCCAGGAAATGGAGGACTTGCGTCAGATTTCGGGTCTTGTGAGAACGTTAGGCCGCTCTGCTTTTTAAATTTAAAAATATATATTCCTAAGTTATTACTTGGAAATGAATCTTGACTTCATTACTTTATTCCAAAGATACTTATTGAACACATGCTCTGCGCCAGGCAGAGCGGACAAGAATTCCTGCCCTCGTAGAGGTTCTTTTCTAGTACAACTAGAGTGACAGTACACCCGCGAATCGGGTAGTGTGCCAGGTGGTGAGAAATGCTAAGAGTAAGGCGGGGAGGAGAGGAAGCGGAGGGCTCTATTTCTGGTTAGAACATCTGAGCAGAGCTAGGGGGATGAGGGAGGCCATGCAGGTATGAGGGGAAAAGCAGCAGAGACCAGGGGACAGCAAGTGCTCAGACCCATTAACCTAACCACTGAGTTCCGTGCATCTACAAACTTTTTAATTTTTTTTTTTTTTTGGAGAATTTTATTTTTGCGATAGGGCGCGTGCGCTCGCCAGACAGAGACAGAGACAGACAGAGAGACAGAAAGTGAGAAATCACCCCCCAGGGGGGATGGCCACGCCACAATCCCTTCTCCTCCATTCTCCTCTTGGGATCTTGGGCACGCATGCACACGCGCCCTGCGTGAGTTTAAGTCACTGGGTCTGGGACGCGAACCCCGGTTGACCACGGAGTCCAGCGACATAGCCATTACTCTAACTGTTGGTCCCTCTTCTTTTTAATATTATACTTGCTTGAAACAACACTTTTTTCCTTTGGAACTTCACTTTACAGTGTCCTTAACATTTTTGTCTTGATTTTATTTTTTCTTTATCATAATCTTTTGAGGTAGAAAAAATGACAGTTATCCCCTGATTGCAAATTAGGAAATTGAGTTTCAAAGGAAGGGACTTTATAGCTAGTCAGCTTGGAACTTCAACTTTGATCTTTTATATCCAAAGGTAGGTTATTTTTCTGATTGACCACATTGCTTCATTGTGAATTCCTACTGGCCCAGAGAGACAGACCTCTTAAGGGCAGAGACAGGATCCTTCTATACATCTTTCCTCCTAGGTTCTAACTCAGTGCTTGACAGACAATAAATGCTCAATAAATGTATGTGAGTTAATTTTAGTTTAACTTTCACAATACAACAGCTAAGGGCTTAATTTGACTTTTATGTTAAAGACGGATTCCTAAACCTAACTTCATTGTCATCAGATTGTTCTCAGTCAGGACTTGGAAACAAAAGTGTGAAATCCCTAATGCGATGAGAGTTTCGATTCAGGAATGAACCAAGTTACTAGGAAAAAGGATTTGCTCGGCAAACAGCATCCTAGTGAGATTCCAGGTGCTCTGCTGTTCATCTGATTGAATAATCAAGTTACTCCTGAAGTATCAGTAGTTGGTTCTGAGTCCAACACACTTCACTTGGTAACTCCCAAGCTGGTTTGACTTCATGTTGGCTGGACGTGGGATCTTTTGAAGCAGGGCACTCCGTGGGTCCCATCTTTGAATGCCTTAAAAGCTTTGCCAAGGGACCAGCAGTTAGCGTAATGGCTATGTCGCTGGACTCCCACGGAGTTGACTGTGGTTTGCATCCTGGACCCAGTGGCTTAAAACTCAGGCCGGGCGTGTGTGCGTGCATACCCAAGATCCTGAGAGGAGAACGGAGGAGAAGGGATTGTGGCGTGGCCATCCCCTCTGGGGGGTGATTTCTTGCTTTCTATCTCGCTGTCTCTCTGTCTGTCTGGCGAGTGCATGCGCCCTATAGCGAAAACCTCTCCAAAAAAAAAAAAAAAAAAAGCTTTGCCAGTTAGTTCCTGAATGAGGTTGAAATACCCTTTTCCTCAAAGAAGAGTTGGGATCCCTAAAATTTTAGATTCTATTTTCTTGATCTGATCTTACAAAACATCCAGAGTAGTGTTTGTGTCTTATCCTATTTCTTATGGTTATAGGAATGCGTATTTATTCCAGGCCTTCTATCTGCCAGCCCCTGGGCTGGATTTAATCCCATCTTAAAGTTCATTTAATCCACTTAAAAATCCTATGAGAGTATGTCCCTCCCCACCTTTTTTTTTTTTAAACTTAAATTAAGTTGCCCAAAGTCACAAAGAAGGCATCGTAGCTTGGTTCAACCCTAGATCTTCACATAACTTTTCCTCTCTCCCCTTAAAAAATTCTTAATCAGCCATCCTGTGAGGGATACCGTACTAGCTGCGTGACTGCAGGATTCACTTCACTTTTTTGAGGCTCCTTTTCTCTAAGTGGAGGTGATAGTGCGTGTAGTATAGAGATGTAGGTACAAGTATTTATTAAGTGGGTTCATGCACTTGAAGTGCCTGGCATAGTGCCTGGTACATGTTGGGTTGTCAGGAAAGTCTTGATGCATTTTTTGCATAGAAAGACACACCGTGAATCTCCCTGATAGAATATGCTGTTCCCTTCACTGTGTAGGTGGTGAGCTTTTTGTTGACCTTGCCATTTACTGTGTAGGAGTACTCTAAGCTTAAACTTAGAGTAACACTAATATATGTCCACTACTTTGTCACTTCTTCATCTGATATCCCTAAGATGGGTTGATGAGACACCTTGAAAGCAGGAACAGTCCTTCATTCATCCTTGAGTTCCCAGCACCTGCACAGTGCTGGCCGTAGATGCTTAGGAAATGATTATTGATTGTATTATTTTTCTCTCATTTGTCTTCTCTTTTTTAGAGATTTTTGCTATAGGGTGTGTGCACTTGCCAGAGAGACAGTGAGAAATCACCTCCCCAGAGGGGATGGCCGCGCGGCAGTCTCTTCTTTTCCATTTTCCGCTTGGGATTTTGGGCATACACGCACATGCTCCTAGTGTGAGTTTTAAGTTACTGGGTCTGGGACTCCAACTGTGGTCGACTCTGTGGGAGTCCAGCGATGTAAACATTATGTCATCTGCTGGTCCCTATTTTTATCTTTAGTTTTGATTTAACAGTAACAGGCTAGGTTGGGTTCCCAAACACAGAGGTTGGAAGCACTGAACTGGAAGGGAGGGAGCGGTGGATATTATCAGAGGAAGACCAAAGCGTGCACCGGGTTATGAGAGGAAAGACGGAGTAGGACAGTGTGTGACTCCGGTTAATAGAGACTTGCCCTAATAAAGCAAATACACCCTACTCCCCTTTTTAAAAGTTGGGGTTTTGTTTTTGTTTTGTTTTGCCATAGGGCACATGTTCTCACCAGAAAGAAACAGGAAAAAAAGGGAAAGTAGGAAATCACCCCTAGGGAGGATGGCCGCACTGCACTTCCTTTTTCTCTATTCTCCTTTCAAGATTTTGGGCATGCACACACAAGCCTGGTTTGGTTTTCAAGTTGCTTGGTCTGAGACTCAAACCATACAGTCATCTCTGTGGGATCCAGCACCTTAGCCATCATGCTTCCTGCTGGTCTGCAAAGTACCCCTATATAACATACACTTTATACCAATCCTCAAGCCCCACCATGTACTAAGCAGTAGTTCAGTAAACCCACTTGGACCAGAGCTCTGTGTTGTCTAGAAGAGTATTAAATGCTGTTCAGTCTGTGGTATGCAGACTGACCTTGCCTTTTATATTTTCATTAGAAAGCGTTAAAAGGAGTGTAAATTTGACTCACCGGAATAAGAATGTATGACACCCCCATTCTGCAGTAGTGGAAAAAGGCAAAGGCCTGGTGTAGCCCATTTATGTGGTAAAGCCTCTGGCTTGGGACCAGTAGATGCTATAGCCGTTATGTCGCTAGACTCCCTCATAGTCAACCGTGGTTCAAGTCCTAGACCTGGTGGCTTAAAACTCACACCACACACATGGCCTGTGTTCATGCCCCCAAATCCCGAGAGTGGAGGAGAAGGGATTGTGGCATGGCACTCCCCTGGAAGGTGATTTCTCATTTACTGCCTCTGTCTCTCTGGTGAGCGCACGTGCCCTATAGCAAAAATCTCTCTTAAAAAAAAAAAAAAAAGAAAGAAACCTCTGGCTCAGAGCTTTGAAATCTGAATCTTTCCAGTCTCCTTCCTGCTCGATTTGCTCATTCTTTTAACATGAAAGAAGAAAATCTTATTTTTTCGCTCATAAGTTTGAACATGTCAGTATTCAGCAGTCAATTTAATACTTTATCTGTTGCATCTAGGGAGCTAAAAAAATCCACTTGGGTGAAGATTTGAAGAGTATTCTCTCCGAAGCTCCAGGAAAATGTGTACCTTATGCTGTTATTGAAGGTATGTTTGTTTATTGGCAAATGAAAAACAACTTCCTTCTTCCAAAAGACGGATAAAGATCCCTTTGAATGTGAAGTGCCTTTTGTGGCATTGGGGCCATGGTGCAGAACGCGCCTTGGGATCAGAAAGACTGAGCTCTTTGCTGTGACGTTGGGGAAGGAAGACTGCCCACCTTTCTGGACCTCCTGCCTCATCCCCAGGACGGTCCGACCTTACCGGGTTGTGGGGAGCGTAAACGGTAGGGTCCGTGTGCAGGGCCCGCAGGTGCTTCTGTAGTGCGACCTGTGGTGATCCAAACCCCGTTGTTTAAATTAATTATCTGTAACGCAGACTAAAGGCACATTTGCATGGCCGTAAAGGAGGGCTGCACACTCCTTCACAAATTCAGCACTTCATTTCCACCTAGGAGCCGTGCGGTCTGTTAAAGAAACGCTCAACAGTCAGTTTGTGGAAAACTGCAAAGGGGTAGTTCAGCGGCTGACTCTTCAGGAGCACAAGATGGTGTGGAATCGAACCACCCACCTTTGGTACGTGTCCTCCGTTCGAGCGCTGGGGTCCTGGGTGCCGTTGCCATGTCGGTGGCTTCTCTTGGGACAGGTTGAAGAGCAGCCTCTGTGCTGTCTATGGTCTCATGTGTGGTCTGCAGGCCTCCATCAGAATCGCTGGGCATCTTGTCAAAGTGCCGCTCTGGGCTCCTTTCTAGGCCCCCTGGACCAGCATTTCCAGGAGAGGGAGGCGGACTCTGTCAAGAAACTCGGATTTCAGTGTTTGTCCAAGTATTTTGTGCCATTATTTGGAGTATGGTTTTTCCACCTGACCCTAGTGGGGCTTATCTCAGGTGTGTATCTTACAGTGGCAAAGGGCAGTAAATGGCATGGCGGCATTGGTGCCCCTGATGGCGCCTGAGGCCTGGAGACAGGGAGCCTCCCTATGCTTGGAAGTGATGATTTTTATTGTGTTCTTCCAGCTCCTTCAGACTTTATTTCATCCCCTGCCGTCCCTGCCTGGGTGTTGGGTAAATGCTGCCCTTTGTTTTATCTTTGGTTCTCTCATCCCTTCAGGAATGACTGCTCAAAGATCATTCACCAAAGGACCAACACAGTGCCCTTTGACCTGGTGCCCCACGAGGATGGCGTGGATGTGGCTGTGCGAGTGCTGAAGCCCCTGGACTCGGTGGATCTGGGCCTCGAGACTGTGTATGAGAAGTTCCACCCCTCAATCCAGTCCTTCACCGATGTCATTGGCCACTACATCAGTGGTGAGCGACCCAAAGGCATCCAGGAGACCGAGGAGATGCTGAAGGTCGGGGCCACCCTCACGGGGGTTGGCGAACTGGTCCTGGACAACAACTCCGTCCGCCTGCAGCCCCCCAAACAAGGCATGCAGTACTATCTGAGCAGCCAGGACTTTGACAGTCTGCTGCAGAAGCAGGAGTCGAGTGTCCGACTCTGGAAGGTCCTGGCACTGGTTTTTGGCTTTGCCACATGTGCCACCCTCTTCTTCATCCTCCGGAAGCAGTACCTGCAGCGGCAGGAGCGACTGCGCCTCAAGCAGCTGCAGGAGGAGTTCCAGGAGCACGAGGCCCAGCTGCTGAGCCGAGCCAGGCCTGAGGACAGGGAGGGCCTGAAGAGCGCCTGCGTCGTGTGTCTGAGCAGCTTCAGGTCCTGTGTCTTCCTGGAGTGCGGGCATGTTTGTTCCTGCACCGAGTGCTACCGTGCCCTGCCGGAGCCCAAGAAGTGCCCCATCTGCAGGCAGGCAATCACCCGGGTGATTCCCCTGTACAACAGCTAACAGTCTGGAAGCCACACGTGGGCATGGAGGCAGCCCCCCTTTTGGGGATTCTTTCCTTGAGGCCTTTGAAGAGCACTAGGGTGGGGCTGGGGAGGGGTAACCGTTAACTCCAGGTAAGATTATGGGAGTGGAAGGACAGAAACTTCCCAGATCCACACCTCCAGCAGCAGGGTGTGCCTTCCTGACCCAGTGGGACACCCTTCCTAGCACCGAGTGTGAGACTCGGAGCCCCACTCAGGGCTGCATTGGCACCATATCTTTTCCCAGGGGCCAGATGAGTGTGTGACAAAGCTCATTGCATAAGCACCAAAGCCACATCTTCACCTTATGTCCCGTGTCTCTGGTCCTTCCTGGGGAATTATTGATTGCTGCAGACTTGGGGGAGGACTGAGCTGGAGAGGAGAAAGGGCCGGGCTCAGCACAGTGAACGCCTCGGAAGGGACTGCCATGCCTTTCCTTGGGCTGCACCTCGGATAAAAGTTTCCAGAATTGGTAGGCCAGATAGGTCACGCGTACCCCTTCCCTTGCCTGCTGGTTCCTGCATACACGTGTGTCTGGAGGACAGAAGGAAGCAAAACCAGCCCTGCTGTCTCCCAACAGGGTGGGTCACGTGCAGCAGAGCGAGGGGAGCTCACTCGAGGGCCTTCAGCCAGTCAGCCCTCCGCTCTCTCCACTCCCCTGGGTGGCCACCGGAGAGCACGTCTCTGGTCCTGATTTGGAACTCCTGCAGCTTGAGGGGCTGAGGAGAGGCCTCAGCACTTGAAGGAACAGTAAGGATGCTGGTCTCCTAGCTGCCCGGCATTGGCAGCTGCTCTGTAAGGCTTTCAGCAGGCAGCAGGATGCAGCTGCCCCTCGAGCACCACACCTTCCAGAACTCCACTCCTGTCACCCCAGACCCTCTGCCACGTTGATGTCCTGTGGGTGTAATCTCACTGCCCCTCCCGGTGGCCGCTCCACCCCTCCCCTTCCCTCCTGAGCCTGTGCGTGCAAAGAGTGGGGGAGTGCCTTTCACCCCCTCCCAGGTTGTCAAAGTCCTGTACACAGTTCTATTTCCCGTCCCTGTCTGTGGACATTCGTCCCCCTATCCTCCTTTGTGTGGGGGAGCAGGGGTGCTCTCAGGGGGCTGACACTCAGACTAAGCGGTGTCCAGTGTGAACAGCACAAATTAAACATGTCACAACCAAGAGTTAGCCTGTTGCTTTGTTCCCGCGGGTTCAGTGGCTAAGCTGAGTGTCCCTGGGAAGAAGTGAATCCCTGTGGTGATGGAACAAAAACTGGGGAGTTCAAGTCCTTTGTGTCCTCAGCCCTGAGTGGTGCTGGGCTCCCCAAGGGCAGGGAGGGAGCAGGTGTGCAGCTTGGTGATGCTGAGGCTGGGGTGTTTCCACTCGGGGAGGGTCTGATGAGCCTGAGAGCCATCCTGGACAGCCAACCATAGAGCACGCCTGACCTAGCTGTCATTTTTGAAGACGTCTGTCCTAATGTCCCGAACCCCTTGGCGGTGAGAATCCACCTGCTGGGAAGTGGGGTGGGGGAGGGCAATGGGACCAGGATGGAGGAAGGTCGCATACCACTGGGTCCCGGGTGCGCCATCTGCCACTCGATACTTCAGTTTACAAGTGAGTCATCCTCGCAAGCCCAGCGGACCGAGTTCTGGTGTCCTGTACAGATCAGGAAGGGCCCACGGGGACCATCACTGGGCTTAGGCAGAGCTGGGACTTCAAGGGCCTGGCTCTCAGCTCTGCGCGGTTTGCAGAGCTCTCAACCATCCTGCTCACTGGTAGTGGGGCCTGCGAGCTCCCTCTGTGGACAGGGTACCCCACAAGTGCCCCCTCCTCTGGGCAGAGAGAGCTGGCAGCCATGCTGCAGGAGAGGCCCAAGCAGTGGTTGAGACCTCAGCCGATACTGGGTTCTGTCCAGCGAGCTGTGAAGACCCTGCTTTCACACACTGGGTGACGGTGGCTGTGAGACTGATCTTCCCAGGCCCCTTGGCCTCTGCCCCACTTCCCTGTCCTCCCAGCAGCTGTTTTGTGAGGCCTGAGCTTTCCCCGGAGGATGGATGAACTGCCCAGGGGGTTCATGTGGTAGTTGATCGAGTGTAGCCCTCTGCGTGGATTTCAGGAGTAAACCCGGTCAGAGCGATTACACAGGAGGAAGGCACCTGTTGACCCCAGCCCACCCCGGCTCAGATAGACCAAGCCTTCCGCCTGGAGTCCCTGCAGACAGCTCCCCTGCCACCTCAGGGAGCGGGCGTGTCACTAGAGCCTGGATGTGGGGTGCACACTTGGTCCAGAGACTTGGGGAGGACGCAGCCCGAAGGGAGGAGATCCCAGCATGGCAATTGCCCCGCAGAACCGCCTTGGCACACCCCGTCATCCTTTTCTTGTGTTTACACCAAGGGGTCAGGGCGGACTTGGGTTTCTTCCCCTCACCTGTTTATCTCCCAGGTCTGCGGGGACCTGGGGGAGCCTCCTGCCCCCAGGAGGGCAGATCTGGGCCTAAAGCGATTATGTGGGACGGAGGGGGGTGGAGGTGACAGAAGGGGAAAAGGGAACAGGAACCCATGTGAGCAGCCTGTGGGGCTGTGCATTTTGAGTCTTTCTCAGTGAGCACTGTGCTCAGTCTCGACTCCTGGGTGGAGAGCAGTCGTCAGGAATCCTCCGAGGAGTTGCTGCGGGTGTGCTGAACTCCGTGCAGGTGCTTTCTGTGCACCATGCTGTGGTGGTCCTGCACGGTGAATGTCATCACCCCGTTAGTTACAGGGAGAACACTACCTGTGGCCACACTGGGCCCCAAGCCAGGCTCTTTCTAATCCTCAGGGCAGGCCAGCACGGGAGGCCGCGCTGCCCTTCTGCAAGTTAAGTGGCCCCGACTGTGGAGCCGGCACCCTTCGCTTTCATCACATTAAGCCTGGGAGCCTGAAAAGTGAACCCAGGCAGCAGTTACCAAAAACAGCATTTTGCAAGCTAGACAGCACTGTGAGGAACCCCCCTCACCCCCCCGCTGAGCTGATCCTGGGGGACTGGGCCTGCAAGGCCATTTTCAGAACCCCAGTTCATACAGAATTCAAATGGAACATTTAAAAGCAAACAGCACGTCAGGCTGCTCTGCTGCCATGCCAACCCTGTCCTGGGAGGTGCAAGCCCCTGCGGGGCAATGGCTCTGACGTCGATGGCCTTCCAGGCCTCTGTATGCTTGGAGGAGGAGTCTGTCCAGTGTGATGTGGTTGACGGGTGTTTGTCCAACACACATCCGTGGCGTATTTGGAAGCCTAGATGGACGAGATGAGTACGCCAGTCCCGGCCCTCAGAGGGCAGACACCAGGGACTGCCGTTGCAGTGGGTCCTAGTAACCTGAAAAGCTCGAAGCCCTGTTTGACAGGCGCCTTAGTCCACTTTGTGTTTCTATAAGAGAATATTCCACAGACTGGGGGATGTCTAAAGGGAAAAACAAAACAAAACATGTTTTTCCATAGTTCTGGAGGCTGGGAAGTTCGAGTGGAGGAGCCCACATCTGGCGAGGGCCTTTGCTGCTGCTGCATCGTTCCATGGTGGACAGTGAAAGGTCAAGAGAGGGCTGAACTCATTTTTATATGTTTAATTGGAATTTTTAAAAAGTGTTCGTAACGGCATGAGTACGTGTCGCTAGCAGAAGAGAGAAAAGCACCTCCCGCAGCGTCTTCTCAGGCTGTGATCCCCTGCCCACGGCCGTCCAGCTCGTCGGCATCCTGACATGTGCCAAGCTGTGTCTTCAGGCTGATTTGGGAACCCAGACCCACAGTCAGCCATGTGGCTTCTAGCACTGCAGTTCAGTTCGCTACCAGCTGGAAACCAGGCCGGACCTGAACTTTTTTTTTAATTTTAAAATTTAATTTAATATTATTTTTATTAATTTACTAGAGGTCGACAGAGAAAGTATGAGAAAGCAAGCTGCTAGGTCCGGGATTTGAATCATGGTTGGCCATGTGGGAATCTAGTGCCTTAACTACCATGCCACCTGCTGACCCTGCCTGAACTTGTCTGAAAACAAATTCATTCTCTTGGGGCCAGCAGGTGGCATAGTGGTTATGTCACAGTTTGAGTCCTGGACCCAGTGACTTGAAACTCACCACCAAGTGTGTGTGTGTGCATGCCCAAAATCCTAGGAAGAGATGGAGGAGAAGGGATTGCGACATGGCCATCCTCCCTGGGGGGTGATTTCCCACTTTCCCTCTCACTGTCTCTGTCTCTCTCTGGTGAGCACATGCACCCTATGGCAAAAATCTCTTAAAGCAAACAAAATAGAAAACAAAACAAAACAAAACTTATTCTCATGAGCCAGCAGGTGGTGTGGTGGTTAAGGTGTCTGAATCCCACATAACTGACTTCTCAGTTTGAATCCTGGACCCTGCAGCTTGAAAATCACTCTGGGTGCTTGTGCATGTGTGCCCAAAATCCCAACAGGAAAATGGAGAAGAGATTTCAGAGTGGCCTTCTTCCCAGGGAGTTATTTCTCACTTTCCCTCTTTCTCTGGTGAATATATATATATATATATATATACCTCATAGCAAAACTAAAGAAGTAAGTGAATAAAACAGACCTACTTTCCCAATACCAACATGAATCCATTCGTGAGGGCAGAGCACTTATGACCGAATCACCACTTAAACACCCCACCGCTCAGCAGTTGCTCTGGGTATTAAGTTTCCAACACGTAAATTGTGGGGACTCATTCATAGCAACAAGTATGGAGGTCAGTTGTGAGGAACATCTGTGAGTCACAAAGTACTGTAACTGATGGGGTCTTTGAGATCAGCCTGGTTAGAGCAGACCCTCTGACCAGGAATAAACCAACCAGGGACAGTACATCTTCTCTGAAGAGGAGCCAAGCAGAGAAAACATACCCTATAGAATCCAGAAGGGTCTACTTAAACCGCCAACCTGAACATCCCCCTTGTCTACCTCAAGTCTGTCCTCAGGCTCCCTGCCATCTGCAGGATCCAGTCCTGGCTCTTCGTAGCCTCTAAAGTGCCATGTGCCCAGCCCAGCCACCTCTCCAGGCTTGCCCATGTCCCTCTCACCCCATACTGCGACCCCAGCGAGACCAAACCATCAAGTCTCCTTAAATGTACCATGTGGTTCCCTGCCTCTGCTCATGCCGATCCCTGCCTCTGGATCCTTGTAACATCTACTCACCCTTTCAAACTGAGCTTTCAGGGCCGGCAGGTGGTGTGGTGGTTAAGGTGCTGAACTTCCACATGGTCAACCGTGGTTCAAGTCCTGGACCTGGTGGCTTACTTTCTCATTTTCTCTGTCTTTGTGAGGGCAGAGCACTTATGACCGAATCACCACTTAAACACCCCACCGCTCAGCAGTTGCTCTGGGTATTAAGTTTCCAACACGTAAATTGTGGGGACTCATTCATAGCAACAAGTATGGAGGTCAGTTGTGAGGAACATCTGTGAGTCACAAAGTACTGTAACTGATGGGGTCTTTGAGATCAGCCTGGTTAGAGCAGACCCTCTGACCAGGAATAAACCAACCAGGGACAGTACATCTTCTCTGAAGAGGAGCCAAGCAGAGAAAACATACCCTATAGAATCCAGAAGGGTCTACTTAAACCGCCAACCTGAACATCCCCCTTGTCTACCTCAAGTCTGTCCTCAGGCTCCCTGCCATCTGCAGGATCCAGTCCTGGCTCTTCGTAGCCTCTAAAGTGCCATGTGCCCAGCCCAGCCACCTCTCCAGGCTTGCCCATGTCCCTCTCACCCCATACTGCGACCCCAGCGAGACCAAACCATCAAGTCTCCTTAAATGTACCATGTGGTTCCCTGCCTCTGCTCATGCCGATCCCTGCCTCTGGATCCTTGTAACATCTACTCACCCTTTCAAACTGAGCTTTCAGGGCCGGCAGGTGGTGTGGTGGTTAAGGTGCTGAACTTCCACATGGTCAACCGTGGTTCAAGTCCTGGACCTGGTGGCTTACTTTCTCATTTTCTCTGTCTTTCTCTGGTGAGTACACATCCCCTATAGCAAATAAAAATAATAAATTAAAAAATTAAAAAAACCCAACAAAACCAAACTCAGCTCTCTATGTCTCATCCAGAAACTTCCCTGACCCTCTGCACCTAGGCTGGGTTAGGCGTCCCCCCCTGAGATTCCAGAATACATTCTCCTATCTGTACTCCGGCTCTTAGCCATGCTGTCCAC